GCGAGGGACCGCCTGGTGGGGAGGGCATGCATTGTTTACGTGCTCCCTTCACTGTTGATTGATTCGGATGTGGCCAAGACCCAATTCTCCAGGTTCCTGCTGATGTAAGCTTGAGTTTCTTGCCACTTCCTGGATCTCCATTCTATCATGTTCTCCCTCTGGCAGGTCGAATCTTGATGGATTAGGGGCGTGACCTCAGAGGTTGCGCACAATTTGGTGTTGCTTTGACTTCTCGGCGATTTTTCATCTTTTCCCATTTCTTGTATATAATTAGTTTCATACCTTCACAGCGTAATCTTGAATATTATGCTGCAGTGTAGCGTCAGGCAAGTGAACCTATATTTCTTGTGAGGTGTCACTATGGTAAAGTTGAGCGAGTGATTTCAATGATCGTGATACTTTTGCATGCAACCGAGAGCGAAGCCTAGGTTCAAGATTCATAGATTCAATTCTGACTGCACCAAGGGATTGTATAACTGGCTCACGCCTCCACTCGAACACACGCCTCAGAAATCGATGAATAGGTCTTTGTCCGCATCGTGTAACCTGGAATAAACAAAGCTGCCGTCTGAGCGTAAGTCGAATTCCTCAACCTTCAAACTTTTCTTTCCCCGTGGCCTCGTAAAAGAGACAGACAGACTAATAGATATCACTTTAACTCTTGATGACCAATTTAGTCATGGGAATACTTTCTACCAATTGTGAGAGACCTGAAACCTAAAATCCTGCTCCTTTCTTAAAGCTGACGTAATTTCATGACTTGTTTTTTTTTTCCCAAACTGAGTCAAGAAAAAGGCGAAGGGGGGGGGGGAGGACAGATTGAGCTGAAGTGTGTGGAGTTGTTATTATGTACTTTGTCGGACCATGCAGTACTGTTGTTATAAAGACCCAAAATTGTCTGCCGCCTCGTCCATCTCGGAGAAGGGTGAAAGACTATAATTAAGCCGACGATGCTGAATCTTACTTGCGCGGAAACTGCGGGCACTGTTAGTCTTTCTGCGGCCGGAGAGATTCTTCTCTTCCAATAGACATCCACCGACCTCTAACCACACGTCATTCTCGTGAAGTATGCTTCTTCGTCATGTCATGTGAATGAGGTCTGGGGGTTGGGAGTGAATTTTGACTAAATGGACACCGAGGATTACATATGAAGGGACTTAGGAAGAAGGTGGCAAGGTGGAATTGGCAGTGACCTTCCAACGGTGTTCTTTCATCTCGGCTCGCGATAGAGGTCTTCCTCGTAACGGTCTCACTTCAGGGGGCCCATATTCATGCGGGCTTTACCAAACTCATGAGCATTGGAGGTATGTGTGCGCCTCTCCTATCTGAAATCCCCCTCTAGGCTATTCCCTCACTTCCGCGTTAAAGACTCTAGAAATGATAATCGGGTTTCCCCTATGGTTGAATGAAGTCATCCTGTCATTCATACGTCATACGATAAGGTGATGTCTTCATAGTCGACTATGTCGATATCAAGTATTTTTACCAAGCGTTTTCTGCAGTTCGCTAATAGCAGGCTTCCAATACGTTTTACCAAAGATCGGACATTGCCTCCAACGACTCCAACAGTAAATTATTGTTTTCTACCATTCATCGACTTGTTCATTATTTCATAATTAAATTTAAAAAATAAACGGTAATGGGAGTGGTGTTATGCTCAATTTAGAGCGAGCCTTTAGCCAAAATGGTGGGATTTAAGACAGAGTTGTTATTTCTGCGCCATTTTTGTCTCTAGGGTTCATTTTTAGAGAAAGACGCACAGAAGTGCAAACATGGAAAGCTCCGTGTTACATCTGGAACAATCTAACACGCTTCATGATGAAAGCATTTTGAGACAATTATCGCCTAGAAGGAACTTCACTTCGACTCTATCCTTCGTTGGAAGACTAGCTTCACAGCTCTCGTTCGACAATGGTAATTTGAGTCGAAATGGAAGAGGAAACTATATTTGGCGCTTCTTTCAATGAGAGGTTTCTGCACGAATTCGTGTTAACATTGCAGTGCCCACCTGGGCTTTCCGGGCGCCAGAGTTTGCCCAAGCTTGGGGATGAGTGGGGGAGAATTGTTTGCCCGCTATTCTCAAGTTCCGAAATTGAGGAATGCACTTTCTGCGAGGGGTGAAACAAGCAGAGGCCAGAAGAGGGAGGGTGAGGACAGAAGCGGGGGGGAATGGAATATTATTTCCGGCGCGAAACTAAGAGGAAAGAAGGGAGCAAGACAGAAAGAAAGAAAGAGAGAGAGAATTGAGGAGGAGAAACAGAGAAAATAGGGGTGAAGGGAGGCTGCGGGATGTCGCGCCATGCGCACCAGGTGCTCAAGCGTACTTATCCCCTTCCTCATCCAGATCGTGCACAGTGATGTGAAGAAGACTAGCAGAGAGCGGAAGTCCTGGCTCTTTGTTTCGTCTCTTCATCATCATCATCATCATCACCCCTTTTATTTTGCGCTCCCTGCGTAAGTATAATTATGGCACAGGAAGGAGCCAGTGATTTTTTTCTCATCAACTCCAATAATTTCTCTAGATCTTTCTCCTCGTAAATGTGTCTGCAATCCGAGATGGGGTGAGATGAGATTCTGTGCATGCCTCCTAGCTAAGTGTTGCTCATATTGCGGGCATTCGTTGCCGGTCAGATTTCAGAACTTCGAAGCGATAAACCCCCACCGCGGATACGATGGCACGCCCAAGGTAAAGAAGCTGCTGGAGTCGTTAGATATTAGAGTTATCAGATCATCGAATCTGCAGTCTCACTCTCTTGGACTTCCCGTGATTTCCCAACGACAAGATGCTTGGGAAGGGAGGAGAGGGAAGGGCCCAGCGAAGCTTGATAAATGAGTTACAACTTCCCGCCAAACAGAACGTGATATCTCACCTGGCAAGTGGCAAACATTGACCCTTCAGCCTGGTGAACGGAATCGGTGCTCAGTTGTTTGCCTACATTTCAGATATTGTGGTTACCCTCATGATGGCACCGTTCCCACGTCCATTTTGTCTTGCGTCAGACTGGAATTACGGACTAGATCTCGAATTTTTTTTTGCGTTTCGGAGCTCCGGGCGTAATTATTTTGCTGAGTAGCCCTCTTTGAATGCAAAATATGTGTCTCCGAGAAAACTGTGGAGTCACATCGGCTTGCTTTCATAACGATGACAAAAGTTAGCCATTACGATGGGAATCAGCAATCGCATTTTTCAGACACTTGGTGTTGCAAGACTCGGCTCGCAAAAAGTAACGTGACGAGCATAATGCATTTTGCATGATACATTACATAAATACACAGTAGAACTTCCGCTTGATGGCGCAGCAATTTATGGTGCTTTTCAAAGATTGCCCTTGCCCTTACTGAATCTTAGTTTGATTGCCTCAATTTTTTCTTTCACGGTTTGTGAGAAAGAGGATGCCAAGCAAATCGTTCCTGCGGTACTGGTTCATTTGTCATCTCGACGTCCGATTCGTTTCACGGCGGGCGATGTGGAGGAAAGGACAAAAAAGAAATGAGGGCACTGATAGATCGAGGCTGAATGCTGAATGGTCAGTCGGAGTCGCGTGACGTAACCGAAGGACCCATGGGAAGCGGAATGCTATGATCAGCCCGGTATCAATCAACGGCATGTAATGAATGGTCTGTGCCCATTAACAGCTCCCTCTCCCACTAGTTCTTTCTGCGTAAATGACGCAATACTGCTTTATTCATCTTGCTTCTATTGCTCCTTCTTTCGTTTTTTGGTGTCGCGGTCGGGGGGCTGAAGTATTGGAAATCCTGCTACTGTGTGCCCCCTTGCCCTCCTTTGATTAGTAACGGTGCTCACTCGCGCACATCCACGCCACTACTTACTACTTGGTGCCGCTGTAACGGACTCATCGCGCTTTTTTTTTTATTCTAGGCGTCTGAACCCGTTTTCCTCATATTGACGTGCTCGCGAAAGCTTCATTTTCTTCTGTTTGTAAGCGTGGGTGTATCATCCAGCGGCGAGGGATCCATCTGCAGCACATTAATGAATGATGAAGGGTAAAATGCCATTACGCCTCTCACCGAATTTTCCCGTCTTTGATGGAGTCAGTTATCGAGATTGCACTCCTGGTTCATCTACCCCCACGCGTACACATTTCACGCTATTGTGATCGGAATTATAATTAATGGATGAATTCTTCCCATGTCTAATAAATGTTCCAGGAGTAGGCAGAAATCTAGTCCATCTACTATCCATCAGCAAAAACTTATTTAAGGATGTAAGCATAAGTTATTATTTATATATATTATTAAAGTCGAATTATAAGTTCATCACCTTTTCCGACCTTTTTTTTTCTTACCTGATGTCATATGTGAGAAGGTTAGGGTCGAAATGCAGAACTAAATGTCGCCCGAACTAGATATATCAATACATACCTAAGCTCACGTCGTCGGTTTCGTGGGAAATTGATCGCGACCCATGCCATGTTACACGACGTTCGAGCTTCCATTGTGTGGCGTTGACGCAGGATGCGTCTTCTTGAAAGCATTGGTTCTGATTAAGTCTTTCGATGCTAGAACCCTTAGGAGTTGATCTGCTTTCTAAATGACGCGATTCCTAGCAGGAATAGAAACCCAATCTCGGTGCGACATTCGAGGGGAGGCCTTGGGGCGGAGAGGCGCGTGTTTGCACGCCATGAATCCCGTGGGACCCATGCCCCCTGAAGGAGGCTGTGAAAACGGCCCCGCCCTAGTTTTTTTTTTTATTTTAACCCCGAACTCGTCCACGTGGGACGAAAGTGGATGGGCTGGAGACGTCGACCTAATGATGCCCAAATCGGGGTTCTGTTTCTTTCCCAGCCCCGTGATGAATTGCCTCAACCTTGACTGAAGTGCGAGGGTGAAGGAAGAGCTTTCCGCGCCCAACCCATCCAATGCTCATTCTCTCGATCACAGACGGCATTTCCTCACGCCGCACCCAGCCAGCTGGCACGTCGCATGCCGTGCTTCTCCCAGCCTAAACATTCCTTGGTGTGCTTTGATTGTCGAGTAACATGTATCGTGATGGGGGAGAGGAATTGCTGGTTGACGATAATGCAAGGGAATTATTCGTTTCGGAGGAACTCTCTCCTCGAACTGTTTTCATACCCATCACCATCTTGGATAGTGACGAGGAGAACCCGCCGAGTGAATCGGAAACCTACGTGTTTGCTGATGTGGTTGCCACTTGTGAGTTGATTGTCCAGAGGCGTATACGTTATCATAATACTCTGTTGGTTTGACTTTGTAAATTAGTTAAATAAATGGGGGGAACCATGCCATCATATTTCTAGTGCAATGGCTCAGCCTGTGAAAAGTTCAACCAATTGAATGCATCGGTGCGCTTGACATCTTGCATTCAACCCCATCAACTCCACTCGCATAATGTGTGTGCGTGCGTGTGAATGTGTCTGTGTCTGGCATAATCTGCGTTACGTATTAATAGCAGTCCCAGGATAGTTCATGAATAGAAATAATAATGAAAAGGTGGACGCTCGAATTCAGTTGAATAGATAGGGAACTGGGCGTGACAGAGGATACGCCGCGCCTGTGTTCGTGCCTATCATGAAATCACAGTTGGTGTTCGGTATCCTCCCAGACTAGAGAAATGGTCTACCAGTAAATGGATTTCATCTGACGTTGCCGCCGCTAGAATGGGCGTGTTTAGAGAAATCTCGGTTTCCATCAGCAATTTTGTGAGTCGTCGGAGCGTTTACAGTATGCTTGAGGTTACAGGGATTTGGGACACCTGACTTATTAATGCTAATTGGGTGGCAGTTGGTCACACTGGACTGAGTCAGCGAGTTGCCGGTGGCCGTCCAAAGAAGTGCCGTCTGCCATGCTAGCAAGTAGCAATGCGGAAATACTGGCCCCATCATCATCATCATCATAGGAAACCGTAAACCTAAGGGGGAGTAGTAGTGGCTTCGGACGAGCTTCGCTGGTGATCTTAGAACGGGTCGGACCGGACCGGAAAGTTAACGTTCCGGTCTCGGCCCCGCGAAGGAGGAAAAACCTCTTTCTCCTTGTTGCCTGCTTTCTCTCAACCTCTGCCCCATCACCAGTTGACGTTAATGGTCGAGGTTCGGATGGAAGAGCGATTATGCATTGCTTGTGTCGCAGAGGGCTTAACAATCTGTGCTAGGAATCACGTGAGTTGTGAGATATTTAGTTTCGAGAGCTTGTTTTCGCCCGCTTGGTATCCCATTAAGGGTTGCTTCTGTTACAGATTGAATAAGTCCTGAAGGAGGAGGACTCTGTATTCACGGTCTTAAGAGATTGTGGTGGAGGGGGGGGGGGGGGGGAAAAAATTCCCAATTAGTTGGTCTATGAACTGTACATCTTTGTACACCGTGCTGATGAAGCTGAAGGGCTCCTTCTCCGTTCTTCAACCTGGAAAGCACGGAAATTCGAACTACTAAGTTGCAGTCCGCTAGTCTACGTGGCGTTTCATCCGCCCCCTCGCTTTAATTTTCATACATTCCTTCTGCTATATACGGGGTTGAACGACTAAGTCATATGAGATTTTTCGGCATGGAAGAAATTCTAATATTCCTTAATCATCATCATCATGCATCATGAGGATGGATTGGCAGTTTCCGTTGCTGGAGTGGGATTCCGCCTACAAGGCCTACTCTCGCCCCCGTCCCATGTGTGTCTGGCACCAGATGCACACCTTGAATGCATACGTCACCGTCTCGTGCTGTTACTTCCTTCCTAGACGCTCCTTGCCAAAAAAGAACGAATCTCAACCGCATGGAGAGAGAGGGAGGGGGAAGAGGGAGGGAGGGAGAGAGGGAGGAATGGAGAGAAAATGTGTCGTCGCCAAAGCAAGGGGCGCATCCTCTCCGGGTTTTCTCTCCCACGTGAATGAGTCAAAGCGAAGTTTCAACCATTTCCCAGAACTACGTCCTTACATTGTTATCTGCTCTGAATTGGCAGGGCCTCCGGAAGCGCATATCGCTTCGTTGACTGCCACCGCACGCAACCCTGTCCACTCGCTGTGCATGGTGACTTCCGTGTGTCTGTACCAGAGTGAATTGAGTGAATCTGTTAGGTGTTACGAATTTGTTACTTCTGTCCACGAATGCCGCACGTGAAATTGGTAGGTTCCTTATTTTCTGTAGGTTTTGGTGCTCCCGTTTGTACAAATCGCACCATTGTAATGCGTATCTTCTCGTGGAGGTACAACTTTTTCCGGTAGGAAACACTTGGCTTGTATCTAGCTAATACAAAGCGATAAGGCTCTTAGGGATTGGGAGGAAGGAACACCATCTCACAGAATGATATCAGACACTTATCGTTCATTCGTCGCTTACTATCGTTCATTCGTCGCTTACTATCGTTCATTCGTCGCTTACTATCGTTCATTCGTCGCTTACTCGTCGCTTACTATCGTTCATTCGTCGCTTACTATCGTTCATTCGTCGCTTACTATCGTTCATTTTCCGCTTATTATCATGTATTTCTCGCCTTCTGCCTTCTGTAGGGCAGGATCAGTTTTCGCCGTAAGATTTATGTCGATGGAACTCTGGATTGGATCATTTATCGACTATGTTGCCTATGCGCAGAAATCACACCTTCTCGTTTGCAGATATACTCCCCCAATTTGAGTATTTATGGCCTGCTCTAGTATTAGATCATTAGGGATTCCAAAAAGATATGTCGATGCATGTGAAACAAAGAATTTTCATCTGCCATGCAGCACATTAACAAAGTTCGGGAGAAACTCTTGAAAGAACGGCATTAAAAATCTCGATTATGTGGGCTCACAAGACTCGACCATTTATTTTCCGTGAGAGGAGAGGCGGCACGATGTCAGGTCTGCCATCAATTTATTACTGGAATTAAAAAAGCATCTGTTCCGCAGTCTTTTGTTAAATGAAATGCTGTATTCATGTGAAGGGCTGGTAACTCCGTCTCCCTCGACGAACGAAGCTCATGATTATAATGTAGTGAAACTACGGTGTAGAGAAGACAAAGGTGAATTTTATTCATCCGGAGGATGTCCTTAATGATCTCCATTTTTCTGATAGCAATCCCTTGACTGACCATCTCAGATTTATCAACTGTGGTATGGTTAAAAAAAAAAAGTGTTTACCCAGTTTCTCTCATATAGGGGTAAAATGTGGATGCAAACATGGAAGATCGATATTGGTTTCCGAAGTACCTTTCTTCCAGATTGAGAGTCTCAACTATTTAATGTTGGGCCACGTTCCGTCCAGGGAGACTTTCCACATTTTGCCGAATGCACATCTTGTGCTGACTGACCCCCATAAGGTCCAGTCACCGTCCCTAATTAGTCGCGATGATACAGAGTCTAGGGCTGTATAAATCTTGCCTTATCGTGCGAAGGTGCCCGTATGGACTTATCTTTTTGAGGATTCTGTTGTGATGACACGTGTGGCTGAGTTCGCGGAAAGCATTCTATCAGCTGAGATAGATGAGCACTCTTCTATGAGTTCATGGTTCCTTTGCGTCGGAAAGTTCTCGGGATGAAGAGCTGGAAAAACTTTCTCCGTGCTGTTATCGGTTTATTCACGTTTCTGGGTTTACAATGAGGCTTGAGGATGCCAGTCATCATCCATCGAGGTCACACTCGTCAAGGTACAGGATTAGGCTTTTGTCTTGAGAATCCCCCCTCCTGCATAGCCCCTGGACTGAAATCAAAGGTGAACGGGATTGAAAAATGATGGACCGGTCGTTACACTCGCATCTTCCTCGAATAGCCTAATGAGGCGAGCGGCCGCGCGGTTTGTCCCATTCTCTAATTACTATAATTCCGGATAATGACTCCTCTGATGGTAATATTGATGAAGAAAAAAAAAACATCCGGATAGCATGCTTTTTTTTCAATGCCTTCCTCAGATGACGGCCAGAGAAAGAGGCTTCCTCATTTCCTGCATACCAGGGATGAGTGGAGGGTCGATCCTCCCCGATTTGAATCGTTGCCGCGTCCCACTCTCTCTCTCTCTCCCCTCCCCCCCCCCACTTTTTTTAAAAGGAATGTATGAGTTCTTTGCTGCATTGCGTCGCATATCTCGAGTTTCATTCCACTCCTTGAATGCAATTTTTTTTTATTTGCCTAACATGGGAGCTGTCTCCTTTCATCTCTTTACGCATGCATTCATCTGATGAAGCAAATTGAGACCCAACTCATGTCTCGGAATTGACTTCTATTGTATACTGTGTCCTATACTTATACACGTTTGATGAAACCATGGTCTGTTTTGTAAAGAAAATTGCGCGATTCTCTGGAAAAACATTGTCTCGTTTGCATAGTACCGTAACCTTAGAAGTTGAACGAATGCACGTTTTTTATAACCATCTTCAGCCTGGATTTCGTTTCTAGGAGTTGTGAATATAATTATGAAATACCGCAGTCAAGATCTCTCATGCGTATCAACTGACCGCTCTTATATGCGAGTCCAGCTGGGGCAGCAGATGGTATTCAGGTACTAATAGATGACTTGCAAGTCTTCAGGCATAGTTTTTGGGGAATTGAGGCATAATTACGGGATCAATCAATGGCCTTCGCCGTGCTGGGTTATACAAATCATCCCATCGGATGCAAATGAGGACCTCTGGCCACTCCTTGGCTCCAAGAGAATGAGGAAGGGCGCTATTGCCTCGAGCCATTACTGATGAAAGAAGGTTGATAAGGTAAAAAGCAGAGAAGCTTTGCCCTCCCTTACAAAACGTTACCCCCTTGTTCCTCCAAATTTAATCGCTTTTTCCCCTAATCTTTACCTGAAGGGTCTTCTGACAGGTTGAAAGAGGGGAGAAAACCTTTTTTTTTTTAACCTCAGTTTCACCATCCCAATCTTACCTCGGGTAAAAATTTATTGCAAGGGCTTTCGTGGAGAGTAGAAGTGGATTCCGGATCGATGACATGACGCCGACAGAGGGCAGTACGCGTGACCCTCTGTCGCCAAAGATTCGTTGGAGGAGATCGAGCAAGCATGATTGAAATGATGTATGGTGCACCTGCATGCTTGAAAGTACGAAAGAGAGGGCGAAACGAAAGGAAGCTAGATTCCATGCATTTTGATGACCTTCCTGCCTCCACCGGCTCTGCGCCCGAGTTCGTCTGACGTTCAACATTCTTGTCATTTTCTCTCCTCATAAAGTATTCCTCCCACATTCACTCTTCTGCCCCACCTCCATTCATATCTACGCAGATACAGGGGGCCCATGAAAATTCTCAACCTGGACGATCTTTTTTAAGTATTCGGATCGAGTATGTTTTGACGAATGTTCTAATGTGACACGTTTTCAGTCCTGAATTCCGTAGTACTAATATAGTTCCACTTTTAAATTTTATTTAAGTTCCAAAGAGAATGAAATTGAGACTTCCGCCATGTGGCTCAGCTTGAACCGGAGAAGAAAATTACTCCAACTTCGTGGTTACATCTCAAAATGCCGTAGGGAATAGAAAGGAATCGCCATTTATAGGGACTATATGGACGCCCTGTAGAAACCCAGTCGTGCACCTTGCCCCAGGCCCACGTGGAAGCACAAAGCCTCTTCCCTGCCTTCCATCCTGGCTTGGAGATTTGTCACGCCCTGTAAGATCTCTTGTTCACACATCGGAGTCGGCACCATGGGTGGCTCCATTCCTAGCACATTCTGCCAGGTGTTCCTTCATCTAATATGCAGTTTTCCCCCTCCTTTTCCTCCCATACGGGCGCCATCCTTGCGACCAGGAACCAATTGCATGCAATACAAAATATGGGAATTATACTGCACTTCCTCCTCCTATGGGATACCCATAGCTTGGACGTGTAATTTCTCCCGTTTCTGTGTATGGGTCTTTTTCTATGGAGGCTTAACCTACAATCATGATTCTTTCCAGATGTTTAGCTTCCACATCATCATTGCAGATCAAGAGTATGGCAAACCCAGGGCCGTATCTAGGATTTCATTTCGGGGGGGGGTTGAGGTCTGTCGTATGCGCTGTGGCTATTTTTTTATACTTGTCATTGTAAGTCTTTGTGACATATCTGGATTTTCCTGTAAGTTGCAGTGTTTAATAAGTCATAAGCTATTAAAGATAAAAAAAAAGACCAAGTACTGCGCCGTTTACACCGACGAATAGCAGTATGGCAAACATTTAAGGAAGATATTTCGGGGGGGGGGGGTTTGAACCCCATGTTAAATACGGCCTTGAGCAAACCATCCCTCTACCAGTAAAAAATGTAAAGGCTTAGGTAAGGGGGAAATGCGGGGACCCCAATGCTGTAATTGGACGAAGAGTAGAGAGATTCTTTATGCATCCTTTTCACATAAGGCAACCAGAAAATGTCATTGGGTTAGATTAGGGGATGTCAAAAGATCCCGTGACATGACGGTGACGATTTCCCTTGTTTGTCTGCCTTGTAGACCCACGTGGTTGGCGACGGGGCAGTGGGGGTCGTTTAGCCCGAAGGGCGAGGTCTTTCAAGGAAGACCTCATCGACAGGCTGACTCAAATGAAGACCCCTGGAACACCATCTGCTTCCTCCTCCCCCTCAGCGGCTGGAACTCAATCCCCTTTACGTGAGTCCATCTAATTTCATGGCACGCTGGGATACAAATTGCCTTGGAAAGTGCCTCGATTACTGATGTCATGCTGGGATCCATATCCCGTATTAGGGAAATTGAGCCGAGGGATGTCGCCGAAAGGAAAAAGTGGAACTGGGAGTCCCGTCCACGGTATGGCAACGCAGGTAGTTTTGGCTGCCACTGCGGCCGCTACTGCTGCTGCTTCTAGTCCTTCTCTTCCCCAAGTCCGATCTTCCATTGGCGATATGGATTCCCTCATTAGGAAGGTGAGTGCATTCCATTTTCATGTCTACAAATTGGAAGGATGGGCTGAGAGGCCAGGGGATCGAGTTGGAGTGATGGAACCCATTTGGAGGCTCTATTTTTAGATTGATGGACTTGAAGAGACATTAGGAGTAGCAGGTGCCAACAAGCTCTTTTCCAAGTAATTGGCTGCTAGTCTTGAGTTTCCGGAAATAATGGGCCAAGCCCAATGAGCCAACGAACTTGTGGTTTTTGCCTAGACTTATGTTCATGCCGAAATTTATCAGCGCCCAGCATTTTAGTGGAGATGAACCCCGTCTTGAACTTCGTGGACTTTCAATGTGAAAAAGCGGCATGGTGAGACTATTATGGACGGTCATCTGTCGGGAGGAGAGATTTATTATTGGCATTGATTTGTCAGGCAGAGGAAATCGAAAGTAGAACGTGCAGTATGCAAATTGGATGTGACTTGGAGCCGCAATGTGCGCCTATTTTTATTTAAAAGGGCAAGTTAATTTTAGTGCTCTTTGGAAGGGGTTTCTCTTCTGGTTATTGAGATTGGCAGTCACCCATGGAGGGGGTTATGAAGGAGAGCCGGGACTTCCTCAGTGTAGATTTCCTGTAGCTCCTGTGCAGTAGGAGGATTTAGAGCTCGCTTCAACATGTGGAGACGCCAGGACACTTCAGGATGGTCATACGAGATGCACCGTGCTTCACGACACGTCCGTGTTCCCTTGCAGTTGAATGGAGCTTTGCGGTACTTCCAAGACGCAATCGGAAAGAAAGCGTGGGGTCAAGTCCCAGGTTCTGCAACGATCATCTTGGAAACTGTGATCCAGATCCTTGCAACACTGGAGTCTTCTGTAGCTACCTCTGTCAATCGCAGGTCAGGATCCACGCTCTTCCGCTTTCGTATGCTTATTTGTGTTAGGAGAGGTTCTCGTTAACTAGGCCCAAGCTTGAAGATCTCTTCTTTTTGTGGACTTGTAGTGGACTTTCTTTCCAAGGAGAGAAGTCACTTGTAGACCTGCCTATTTGTGTCTTCCATTTATATGTTTTTGTTGTTTGACGATCATAAAAAAATACAATGATCTAAAAGCATTGGTCTTATTTTGGAACTTAATTTTTGAAAAAGAGGAAGTAAAAACAGCTTAAGAATGCTTCATTTGCCAAACTATTTCATACCTTGGAAATTCTGATGTCTCATTTGTTTTAGATAGTCACGTGGGGAGTTTCCATTTACATTTTAAAGCACAAAAATTCTAGGTGGTTCGGCTATGTCACATTAAATGCTCTAGAAGTCGGGAGACGTATGAGACGGGAGAGTGGTCTTGGGGAAATTGGAATGTCTATTACTGAAACGAGTAGGCAATTAGACGAAATTGAAGGTGTCATAGAATGTCTCATGGGCCAAATTTTTGTCTCATTTGTCTGTCGACTTCCACAGCATTTTACGCAGCCTAACCCAGTCGAGTAGCCAATAATTTTTGTACTACAGTTGCACGAAAAGTGTTACCTGTATCAAAAATGAAAAAATTCCTCAGAATTTATAAACCATGGAATAATGGGCAAATGAAGCATTTTAAGATTTATTACATCTATCTTGCGGGAAATTAAATTTAAATCTCTTACCAATGTTTTTGGGCCCCTCAATCCGATCATGATCATGGTGGACATTTGGTGTACAAGGGAGAGGCTGAGAAGGAGCGTAGACAGGGTTACTAGTCGAGCACAGGAAATGCCACGTCATGCTCTTCATTTGATCCTACACCTCGTACTCTCCTCCCATTTCTCAATCCGTATCATACCTGTCATATCTCCCTCACGTTCCCAACAGTAATTGAACGGAGGCCCACTACTGGAACTGGACTTGCTCAACTTACATAAAACTGAGTTGTTCTGTCGTGAATCTAAGTCATATTTTTCGACTCTGTGAGCTCGAGGTCAATATGCGCACAGTGACTCAGAGATTGAGTGGGAGGCTGGATATCGATCCCAGAAGTTTGTTATTGGGTGCGCACTTCTATCCTCGCCTGCCGCTCCCTATTCTCTGGCATGGGGTATCGATGTGAAATGGAATACGTGGATGTCTCTGTGTCTCTCAAATGAAAGGAAAAGCCAACGCGCAAAAATATGATCCTGGAACACTTGGAGTTCTGTCCCCACCTACGCGCCAATCTGAATCACATCAAAGGTAGCTTTGAAGTGCGCTTTGTAGACATGCTTGAATTCTCTCCTTATAAAACAGTAAAAGAGCTGAGGGTAAGACTGCTACATCCTGCCTAGTTGATTTGTCCCCAGTGAGTTTCTGCCGAAGGTCCTGCCACGCTCTAACCAACTTAATCAAATAGTCGTCGTCAGGCATCAGTTTCGCAATGATCTTGTATGCTCAAAAAGCCACGTTGCTTTACTGCTTGAGAAGCAGAAAACAAAAGGGAGGCGGTTGTAGGAGGCAGAACCTTGTACTTATGCTGTAAAGTAAGGATTTTGCGCGGAACATGACGATTCCAGAAAAAAGCTGAGCTCTCCTCCGATCTTGAGCGGATGTACGCCGTTTTTTCATATCCTCTCTTTGCTTGGTATTACGAGCCTTGCTAAAGGCGGATTTCATATCGTTGGAAAGCTCGCGGCCTACTTCAGAAGGATCGTGGAGTGTGCTTGAATTTTCTGGGCTGGCTGTACTCAATGTGCGGTCAGCCCAAATTTGAATAATGAATATGCATGACAACGGAATACAAGCATGTTTTTGCAGTACTTTTATCTTATATCAACACCCCCTTGCTTTCTCTCACTGCTGATGGTGATGCAAGTGTCTGTTCTTTATTCTAATATTGTATCCCATATATGTCAACGAGGAGCAATACATGGATCTCATTAGATATTCCCCTGGCGTTTCTCGACCGGCTCATTTCACTTGGGAGCCAGAAACGGCTTACATTTCCCTGTCGCCTTCTCTTTACGTAGCATCCTAGTCATACGTGTTTAATCTCCATTAGCTAATTGCTGGGCGTGCCTGAAAGGAGTTCCCCGGAAGAGGTTTCCCTGATTCTAGAGACTCCTTTTCTCCCTCAATGCAGTGGGCGGATCATCCTAATAGCATACCACCCGTTCGTCTCTCTTCCCGACTTTCCCGTCTATCCCTTTAGTATGTTGGCGGTGCATGATATTGGCCGGTGGCGGTGACTTTCGATTACGAGTGTAGGCGCGATAAGGCGAGGCTAGACAACAGCAACATGTGGGTGCGATTGCGATCAGAAGCCGAAAGAAGGGTGAACGAACGATGCCCGGTCATTCCATACACAGCCCTCTCCATTTTCGGTGATAACCGGTTCCATTCCTCCATACCTAGTGCATCGGATCAGGACATTGGTGCATATATTATCGTCTACACCGGTAATGCGTGGGCGGTAACTGAAAGAAAAGCGGAAAAGATCGCCCTCAACTTTGTTTTATTGCTCGCCAAGTAAACAGGATGCCGAGAACAGAACGATCTCTTCTTCCAGATATTGTTACTGTCATTAATTTCGGTCTCTGTGATATTGAAAGAGACTCAGTGGCACTCGAGTCATGGTCACCCCCTTGAACAGCTGAGCCCCCTGAGCTCATTCGAATGCCTGAAGGTTGAAGTTAGCATATATGCTTCATATGTAGTACTCGTAAAGCTCCGTATCGTGTACCCCTGGAATAGGCGTAAAGACTGAGGCTTGAAATAGGGGCAGCAGATGTGACTACGACATACATATTCAACATTCATCGAGGCCGAAAGTTGACCGTCCCGGGCGCTGTCTCATCTCTATCTCATCTGCTGGGGGACAATTTTTCCTTCATTTGAGTGACCTGAATTTCAAGGTTTTCTAAGCTGGTAGACTTTAACTATAAGGAGGCCCATGTGTGTGACTCATCTTTGCTCCTTCTTTTGTCGCGCATGACAAGATGCCTTATTGGAATTGTGTATTAGTCAAGGGAGGGACTGTGAGTGGGATTGATAGAGAGGATTCGACCTCGTCTCGAAGAGAGATAGACTTGGCTCGAGGGTGTATGTATTTGTTTAGTACCGGGGAAAGTCGGTAGTCTTGACCAGTATAGAGTGGAGCTGACTTATTGCCTCGTCCCTCTATCGATACGATCGCGATCACGAGCTGAACTCGCCAGTTTTTCAGGTTCCTCTTCCTTCTTATGCATATCTGCTGTGCTGGCCCTGGTTTCTATCCTCCCTTCCGCCAGAGTTCCTCCAAGACCTTGTTCCCGTCTTCCACCCTTCTCGATCTCTCGGAGGTTAAGGTGGAGGAGGCTGTCCTCCTCTGCGATGACGGATGATGGGTGCGAAACAGCGAAAGGCCGGCGTGAGGATGATGATCACGCTCGAAAGTGACCAGAGGATCAAAGTGGATTGTCGATTGTGTCATGTTCATCCATTTAGGACGTACTCTCCCCCTCAGGCCTGGAGTCGGATCAGGTCCCGATCACGATCAGTTGGGCAATCCCACGTAGGACTTCCTTAGGACTTGGCTGACCTGAATTTATTACTTAGACAGTCTTTGCTCTTCCCTGCCTGCATCCCGTCCAATCTCCTCTCTTGGTATGTTCTTCTGTGTCTCTCTCTCCGGAATAGTACTGAACTGCTGCTATAGTCCAGCCCATGGGCCAACAAGACTGCGTTTTGCCCGCACCATTCTTTTTACTTCCATTGTGACTCGTCATTCCTAAACTTATATTCCCCTGGTTGAGAAGCTGAAAAAAAAAACACACTCTACCGAACGTCACTTCTATATCGTTATATTTTAGTGCTGTCTCATTTCCATCTAATTTTTAGAACTCGGTCGTTCTGAAAATCCGCTGCCTGTTGCGGTTCGTCTGTATTTTTATCGTTCCATTTAGATGTAATCGGGGACGGTGTGGAATTCTCATTGAAGTTTAAACAACCTCTGAGACGATTCGATTCGCCATATTTCCTCGTAATGGATTGTTGGGCTGGCATGAGGGACTTCGTCTGGAGCTGATAACATAGAGTGTATCCCGAGGTAATGGGAGTTTTCGCCGTGAAAGAAATCTTCGCAGCAGCGCGTGACCGCTACCTTCGGGAAACCGGATTTATTGCATTCTGTGCAAAGGGAAGCGTATGAGCGAAGACGAATTGTTCCTCGTCCGGGTCCTCATTCATTTCCATTCCTCATTATGACGAATGGAGTTGTCAGGATCCTCCTTTTTCTTTTCCTCTAAAAAAAAAAAAAAAACAGCCGTGGGATTCCATGCTAAGTCATTGGCTGACGTAACTGACGAACGTTCTTTTCTGCTCATGTCCCCTTATCGGGACTCGACGTCGGAATTTCTCAGGTGAAAACAACTCCCATCCGCGGCCCTTCCAGGAAAGTATTCCTCAGTGAAGAATCCCGTTACAGAACTGCAGTTTCCCAGTTGTAATCGCTGCTATTCATCAAGGGCGTACCCACGAAACATGGATATTACATCGGAGAAAATACCACGGAGGGAGGAGATTATGGCCCATCTGGGCCGACCAGCCGAGCGCAACAGAGAATAGACAACCCCGTTCCTTAACAGAGGTCATCATCTTCATTCTCGGCTTTCCTGACAGCTTCATATATCGTTTCGGCTGTCTCTTAGCAGTAAAACCGCATACCGGAAGTCCTATGTACTCCGGGACGATCTCTAGCTTATTGCCAAAGGAGCTAGCGCAAAGGGTGAGGATACTTAGAATAAACTACCTGGGGGCTGAAGACCCACCCATCATCCCAAGGAAAAATGTTCTATACAAACTTATGTGATTCTGCATGGAAGCCTATCCAATTCTAAAAAGATAGGACACATTTTCATCTTGAAGCATTGAAAACACATTAAAATTCTGTAGAATTTCCATGTCTATTTTTCATTCCGTATCAAAGATCTTGTCCTTGGAAGAGTCTGCGTTCTGTCAGATCGAGGTATTGTGACTAATGCTCTGTCATTGAAAGCGATGAGTGCCCTTCATTGTGAAGAAGTTCTTTGTTTGGCAGCCCCCCCCCCCTTTGCGCCGTATGATCACAAGGAAACAAGACTTGCACGGGTCTGATCTCGTTTATGGCCTCTTTTGCAATGGATGCAGGGATGCTTTCACGTCTAGTCGTGATCTCGCATCTGAGGAGGATAAGGAGGAGCTCCTGGTGTTCCGCTCAGAGCTGTATACAGGAGTGAGCATTAGTCCCAGGACAAAGAATAACTCGAAGTAAGAGTCGCACGTTGCGGACTAATTCTGCTTGAGGGGCGGTATAAATATACAATTGAATGTGCGATTGCATTTTTCACAGAGTCATTGGAAGAATGCTTTATAGGAAGTTAGCAAACCCGATATTTTTGCTTCCTGAACTGCGTGCCCCACGTCTGCCTGCCGCTTTGCACGTGAGGCTATTCCGGACTAGGTGCATACCAACGTTCACATTGCTTGTAAGAACCGTGCGTGGTGCTGCATTATGGTAGGACTTCAGTTTTAGCATTTCACTTGGAGATGTTTCATGCTTAATAAAGGGGAGTCAGCGCCTGTACAATTTTCCGCATTCCTTTGTCCTGCAACTTTCTCCCGCCCCTGTACGTTGCTCCACTTTCGCCCTCTATTGCTTTTGCAATGCCTGTCCTTTCCTATTGCCAGAGTTCGGATTGAAGGTGTGAGGATAGTGGAGGTTTATGGTGGAGATGACAATCGAAAGAATCGGCCTACTTTGGAGCCGTAGATCAGGAATGACGAAGCAATCTTGAGATGTGGAAGAGGAGATTGCCAAAAGATCTTGGCAGGGACACCTCCACGTGCTCCTCTATAGGAAAGACCTTGGCCCATTCATTCAACACAACCCCCTTCCCCTTCCCCCCCCCCCCTTTCTCCTTCTCCTTTACTCCCCACTGGTAGGCCCCCCTCCTCTGACAATTTCGGTTCTCATCCCCCTCTATCTTTGCTGAATCACTCAGATTCACAGCCACAGAAGGACCACACTCGATTGTACAGAATTGTTCTGCATTTGAGTACCTCCCAGAGTCCGAGGTTCTTTCCGTTGATTTTTGAATGTCATGAAATATTTTTACTCTGAACTCCCTTCGCATCAATGAACGTCTTGTCCTACCTTTCTTTGCAGCTCTGTCATCATGTCGGCCAACAATCAAGTGAATGAGAGTGTGGCACGCCTAATCCAGTGGTCTGATGAGACACTCCTTATGCAAGAGAATGAAGGCCATGAACTTCTCAAGGAAAATACTGCTCAAGTTGTACAAGAAGTCATTGACGCCGTGAAGGTGAGTTATTTTTATCAATGGGCATTTGATGTAAACTATGGTTAGGTTCCGCAATGTCTTATTCAAAGTAACTGTTATAAAAGGGATGAATAGTGTTTTATTATTTGTTTAACAGCATGGTCCCTAGTGGGGCATGTTGCCAAATCCCATTCATTCACCCATGCCATTCATAACAGCTATATGCAACCATGTACGCAATTCTCTATCTTTCTACATCCCCTCTGATCAAAGTTTCCCAGTAAATTTTTTGAAATTGTGTATAGGTTGTAATGTGAATCATGTGGGTCTAGTTTCATAGACTTTCTTGAGCATTTTACTGCACCATTATAACATGAACAAGTCCAGTACAACCCACTTTCTTTCCTTTTTAGCGGCTGGTGGAAAAAACAGAAGAACGCCTGAACACACAAAACAGGGGCATGAGTATGAAGAATTCATATGGTCAGGTGCATGGTCATTCTCATTACAACCCAAATATGAACCCCTGCCCATGTGAGACTTCTTTACATGGGCATAGGAACTCTCTACCAGAAATTCCTTTACCAATGCCAATGGTGACTCCAGATTATGTCAATCATTCAGCTGCAAACTCCAAAAAGCTTGCTCATTCACAGAGCACAGATTCTATATTAGATACAAGAAGCTTTGATCCTATGCATGAACAGTTGACATATGCACCTGGCTGTGGGCCACCACCTCCACCTCCTAAGCCACCCTTGAATCTAAGGTAGGCACAGTGTCCTTGTGATATAATTATTTTTGACTATTGCTAGAGGAGCTTAAAAGTATATTTGACAGAATGTCTTTGTGTTTCAGATATAGTACATGCAACCATCATTTAGACAGTGGTGAAGAAGCTCCTCCTTTACCTCCAAAGAGAAGGCAACAGCGTAATCACAGTGACTCCACCATGGGGCAATTAGCAAGTGACCTCAGTCTCAATGGACAGGGTCGGTACTCTCCCATGAGTGGCTCACCTCGCTTTGGCGATCAGAGTGGATTTGAATTTGCAAGCTTGGCAGACTCTAGTCGCTGCCACAATTGGTCATTTGAGTCGCCTGACTGGCTGAAGTGTCAACCAGTTGGGCCAAATGGGCACTCTCATGACAGCTTGTCTGTTCACAGCACCTCAGCAAGCAGTTTGGACTCAGCTTTCAATCAGTCCATGGATGAGGTAGATTTTCGAATGAGAGGCAACAGTAGTAGTAGCAACAGTCTCTTCTCAAATCAACCCACACAAGATGGTGGATTGGCTCCAAACATGACAACCTGGCAAGAAGCCACCCGACAACGAATGGGGGAGCTGTCCATTGAGCGAGATGATGCTTTGTCACGAGATGAATCTGGATTCCATTCCCTCCAGTCAGTACGAAACAGTTCTGGGAGTGGGAGTTTTCATAGTACAATGTCAAGTAGTTCTATGGCTATGAGTGCGAATGAATCCAAAAAGACATCATTTGTGTCATTGGCTGCCAATCAGATCCAAATGCATCGGTCCCACTCTGGGGCCTGGGACCATAAAGACCCTTCCCCGCCTCCCCCTGCCCTCCCAGTGAAGAAAAAAACACTTCATGAAAGAGCTCCTTCACACTATGACAATATTTGTGACCTTGTGGATGGAGAAAACCCCCAGTTTCATTGGAATCTGCAACAAGAGAAGATTTCCCCTACTACAAGGCATCGTGAAGACAATGAAGAGAAACCACCTCTTCCTCCAAAGAAGAAGCCAAGTAAGTTCATTCTCGTGTCAGCATGATCCACATCCATCTCTGGAGCATATGCAGGCTAGTTCACCTTTTGCACATTGAAGTCAGGGAAACAAATCAGTAGAGTGAAGGACTTCTCTGCTCTAGGTATATATGACTCTTTGATGTTGTATGTTGATGATGTTGCAATGGAAGGATAAGGAAAGACTGTCAAGTGGAATTGTTGAGGGATTTATTCTTATCATTGGATGTATGGATTCTCAAAAAACTGGTTTGCATGGCTGACAGTAAAAGCAACATTGGTGCCATGGAAATGATGAACTGCCTTTCCTCCCCTCTCCGGCCTGGTGTTTGAAATCCATATTAGTCTATTTGAAAAAAAAATTTTCCACAGGATCAGTGGTGTATTGTCTGGGGGGTTAGAGGGAGCATTTGCACTTTAGAAAGAAGAGAAAGGAAGAAGGAAGAAAAGGAACCTTGAAATGCATGATAAGTGTCCTGGGGTTTCTTGTACCCCCTCACTTATCCTCCATACTACAAATATACTAGTATATATGATCAATCTGCAATGAGAGAGGGGGAAGATATGTAATTCTTGTTTAATATCTTTATCATATTTGAGAACTAATCATTACCATTCAATTTCTTGAAATTGAAATGTTGGTTTTTTGTTTGCATATTTGTAGATGAATGGAGTTGTCTATTTAAATTACAAGAAGATTGGAAATTGGTCGGTCTCAGGACTTCCCTTTTCCCAAGCACTTGTTTGGAGGGTATTTTCAATCATGCATTGCTTAGCTGTTCTGCAAGAGTTTGATGAGGATTTCAATTTCAATTAGGAAAACAGTGGTTTCAAATTCAATTGAAGCTCTTCCTTTTTATTAATTTCACTTCTGTGAAACCTGTACCTAGCCCTGGTTGTTCAGAAAATTCAGATATAGCACAATATTTGAGTGCATTCCATGCAGGTCATTTGCAATACTCAGTCAGGACCTGAAGTTTTATTTAAATTTGAGAAATTGACTGTGTGTGCAAGTGGAACCTGACTCATAGGCATGCAGGCATCTTACCAGTTGTACTGGAGGGATTAATGCCTCTGTTCAAGATATCATGTCCTGCTGAAAACTTGCACTATCCTTTCTTTTTGAAACCAAGGTTTTAACTTCTTTTACAGTCACCACATACATGGCTTTGGTGGACTCTAATTTTGTGCACCGGGTGCAGACTTCCTCATTCCAACAAAGACAGTCTAGTCAGACAAGTACATCACAGACCTTCCATACCTCCAGTTCCTACTCCATAATGTCCCGCTCACTGTCCTCCTTCACTGCTCCAACTCATTCCAAAAAAGGGTCAGTCTGATGTGGAGGTTTCTTTTCCTGTTTTGACTAGGCCTACTTCTTTTCAATCATGTGCATAATGGAATAAATCTGCTTTAAACTTGGACAGTTCTGGTGTGAATGGAGAACCAGGCACCAATGGAACCAGTCATTCCCACAGTCCATCATTTTCTCTAGTCCCAGCATTTGAACCGCCTGGATCACAGGTCCCACCTGCCCTCCCACCTAAGAAAAGCAGACCCCCAATGACCTCAATCACTCCCCCTCCACCTTTGAAGCCTCCATCCCCTGGAATTGACAATATCCTCCATGCATCATCAGATAAAAGTTTGGCACCGTCTCCTTCACCTCTTCCTGCTGGTAGTTACAGGTCAGTTGTCTCAAGTTTCAACTGGGTAGATTATTCTTTACCAACTGCAATACTTTTGAAATTAATTTTGTGAATTGCACCCTGGTTGTAAAGATTTTTAAATATTTACTCTGTTAGTATGTTGATCTGTTTATTTTCAATTTGCCTGATATTTTTTATTATATGTGAATCTGAAAGGACCTCATCCATTTTCAGGATTCCCAGTCCAACTAAGGTGATCCCACTCAGGGAGCCAACACCTCTGGATCTTTTAGATGTCTCTGATCAGCTCATCTACAAGAATCCTAGAGATGATGGACCTGAAATCCGTGGTGGTTCTCCAGATGTTCTCACTGTTCATGCCACCAAAGATTCCAAAACAGGTAAGTGTAGGATGAAATATGAAGCTACATCAACTTGACCTTGTTTGCCATATGCTTCTGAAGACCCTAACATCTTTCAACTTGCTCTTCTTTTCATTCCAGAATTTGATTATCAGGAAGCTTTTGTGACCACATATCGAACATTCATCACACCGGGGGAACTAGTATCCAAACTCATCTATCGATACAAGAAGTTCCATGCCAATGGAGATCCCATTCACCAAAGGGCAGCCAAGTCATCCTTCTCTTTGCTCATCAGAGTGGTGGATGATCTTGCGTGAGTAGTGCTACCTTTTATGAGCTAAGTGATGAATTGAGTGAAACCTTTGCCACACTTGATTGTATTGATATATACATAGATATACAAAATTGCTTGATTATACTGGCCTCATTTATGATGAGACCTTGATCATTTCAATAAATTATGCCTGGTCCCAACTTAATGTCCATCAAGTAGTGCTTATAGAGAGTTTTGTAATTGTGAGGTTATTTGTGAAAGTGAGGTCATTTTTTCATCTCACAACATAGTAAAGTTCATAATTCCTCATCATGCTCCTGAATGGAATTTTCACCTCTGGGAAAATTGGCCATTGGCAACCTAACTAACTCAAGACCATTCTATCAGCTCTATTTTGCCTACTTGCAACTGCTTGGGATGCCTATTAACTATTGCAAATAGCAATCAGGTGTATTCACCACCGAAAATCTGAATCACTTTTAAAACTTTGGTTCTTTACTCTATGTGAAGACTATGGTCTCATCCATCAGAATTGGAGAAGATATTCTCATTCCAAATCAAATGAGACATTGTGGTTCATTTTTCTGCTTGACCATTTCGTGAAAGCAAAAAATTAAAGCAGGCCTAAGTAGGATCAATGATAATCCAAAATGTTAAGTTTGTAGCCCAACAGTCCCTAGGGTATGAAGACTTCATGTTGAGAGATTGCATCCAGGTCACCCTTTGGGACAGCTAAAATAGATTTGATAGCCTAAAACTATGCAGTTGTTATGGTGGAAGTGAATGGTTGGTGTTGTAGAACCAGGAAGGGGAGCTGAAGAGCAAAGGTGATGGTCTATGATAGCCAGTTCCTCTCAGTCTGGCATGATCCATTAACCGCATTTCATGTGCATCAAATTGTTAATTATCTTTTAACATCAGGTTCATCTTACTGGTAAAAATTATACAGGCTGGTCCTACTGACAATTAGATTGCAGATTCATCAGTTGTTGATATAGAATGAAGTCCAAACTCCTGTATTTTTTTTGGGTATTAAATTTTGATGGAAAGTACATGCAAAAAGGAACATGTGAAAATTGACACATTGACCCTGGATCCAGACATTGACCCTGCATCCAGAATTTGAGCATAGAACTAACCTTGAACTAGTGCAATGACAGTTCAACTTTTGTTTAAGTTCCTAATGTAACATCATAACTGCTCAAACATTGCATTAAGAATATGAGGAGAAATAGAGCATGAAATGTTAGACTAATTCATTCTTTCAGGATGATGGATTTGGATGATGGTCTCCTAAGACAGTTAATGGACTTTGAGCAGTCCCTTTTGACTGCTGGAGAGCTTATCCAAGCACGAGCTTTGAGGACAAAGTTCCTTGAGCGGTGGCAGGCCAAACAGAGGGCTTGCAATCCTCAAGCTGCTCTTCCCACTCTTAGCACCAGCATCAAGTGAGACAGCTATTTCCCTATTTTAAACCTCTAACCTTAACCTAATGCATGGAGACCATATCAACATTCTTTATGATTCTTTTCAGGCAATCTGTTTTGCTCGACTTCAAGTCCTTTCACATTGCTGAGCAAATGACACTTCTTGATGCAGAACTCTTCGTTCAGCTTGAGCCAACAGAAATACTGATTTGGGCTCGTGAACAGAATGAAGAACTCTCCCCTAATTTGACCCATTTCACTGAACAGTTCAACAATCTCTCATACTGGTAAGCTTGATATGAAGTTGACGAGAAAAGACAACCAAGCGATTCACTTATATGCTTGATTTGGACTGGCTTTTTTTTCTGTTTTCTTTCAGGGCACGGTCATTGATCCTTCAGCAACATGATGCCAAAGACAGAGACAAGTGTATTCTCAAGTTCATCAAGGTGATGAGACACCTACGGAAACTGAACAACTTCAATTCATACTGGGCACTGTCTGCTGCCCTTGTGTCGGCTCCAATCTGTCGTTTGGAATGGCAAAAACAGATCACAGAAGGAGTCAAAGAGTATCTTGCTCTCATTGACAGTTCTGGAAGTTTCCGAATGTATAGGCAGGTCCTAGCAGACACTCAGCCTCCTTGCATCCCTTATATTGGACTCATCTTATCTGACCTCACCTTCATCCATGTGGGGAACCCTGATTTCCTACCTAATGGTGCTGTGAACTTTGCCAAGAGGTGGCAGCAGTACCGCATTCTCAAAGACATGAAAAGATTTCGGAAATGGTAAGGTCTCATTTTATGCAATTAAAATAGGATATTGCAACATGGTCTTTGGCATCATAACTCAAGAACCTGGGGAGAAACATTTACTCTTTCAATGAAAGTGGGAAAAAAATTGAAATCATATTCTGTATTAGCAACATAAATTCATTGCAAGGTAGTACCAAGCAAGTATTATCATAGTGGTTGCTAGAATTCTCTTGCTAATCTCATCATGACCCAACTGGAGAGAAAAGTGCTGAAAGTCCTATTGGAGATGAGTTAAAGTCTTAGTTGATAAAGAGCCCATCATGACCATTTTACCTGCATTTGCAAGTTATCATTTTCCATCCATATTGGTAACAGTCCTGAGACTCTCTTTTTAAACTTAACACTGCTAGTAGAGGAGATACATTTGTCAGTCAGAGGAGAAGTTGATAAATCATGGTCTAATCTTGGATCAAGTGATGTTCAGAGCTATTCTAAATAGGCTGTTGATGAATCTGAAGTTAAGAGGTTATGCCTAAACTATTGCCTAAACAATAATTAGTCCATTTTAAAGATCTGATATAGGAAACATCATCTAGCATTGTATGAAGATAGTTAATTTTGTTATTCTCAATTCCCATGAAGCTCTGTCTTAAGTTCCAAGTGTGTCACCTCCCAGGTACAGGCATTGAATAAAAAATTTCTCACCCAGTTTGATTGGATTTTGGCAAGGAGAGATTTTGGGAATTTTTGAAACTGGGCTTATCCACTTTGCAGTCATATTCTAAAGCAGTGGTTGGCAACAGGCAGCCTGCAGACCAGATCTGCCCTGCAGAAGCCCTCCCTCTGTCCTGTGAAGGCCCAGTTATCACACATTACAGTCAGACAGTAGACATTCATCAAAATTGTCATTTTAATGACACATGATAGATGTTCACCCATTAACGTGCAGCATTCTGCCATCCAACCCCTGTGAAATTGAGTTGCCAACCACTGCAATAAAGGGTTGAAATAAGAGTACTAGCAAATTCCATTCATATCAAGCCATACCAATTGAACATTAAAATTCATGCTATCTGATTCATTTCCAGCCAGTACAACATCAAGAAGAATGAGAAAATTGTCTCATTCTTCAATGGGTACAAGGACCATATGACAGAGGAAGAAATGTGGCAGATATCAGAATCCATCAAACCTCGAGGAGGAGGCAACAAGAAGAACTGAAATCCAGTTCTCAGATCTCACCAAAGACTGAAGGACTTCTTCTTCATCCTCTCCTGTTATTTCTTCCTCCAGTGGATAATGGTAGCTACTCTTGATATGTGTCTGGTCTCAGATGTCCTTCTGTCTAGGAAGGCACTCTATCATCAATGTCATTCCCTGTGTAATGCATCCCAGTGATATCAAGTCATCCCCTAACTTGGATCTTGTTTTTCCTTGTAATAGAGGAAATGGGCCAGCTACATTCATGAAAACCATTTTTCCTGTCATGCCAAAAGAATGTTTTAACATCTTTGACCAGAAGACAAGTCTTCAATTTCTTATGTATGTCCTAGCCATCTCTTTCCCATTCATCCCAAGGGTTCAGTGGGTATGAGAGACAATGCTGAAGACAAAAAGAATTGTGAAAGCAGGCATACCTAAATTATGTTTAGTAATAGGATGTAATACATCACAAGTAACAAGATTACTTCAATATTTTACTTTTTCAAATAACAAGTGACTAAGTCACTTTTTCATTACATTTACCTTTGATTTGTCCTTCATTTTGAAAAGTAAATGCCATTGCTTTCACACTAGTGCTCTTGCACAGCATAGATGGGTAAAGTATGCCACATAGGCTCATGCTTTTCTCTCATGTCATGCCAAGTTGATGCTCCCTTATAGCAGTCACACCAGTATGGTGTCTCTGATATGGATGCATACCCCAGCAGCAGAATTCATGACTTGTTGAAATTGTAATGGAAGAATAAGAATAAAGAGACTAGTTACTTTTTGCAGAATGTAACTTGTGACTGTGATGTCACTTTTTGCAGGTTGTAATTTGTAATTGTTACTTGTTACTTCTAAAAAGTAAATTTCTCATCATCAATGATATTCAATTTCACATCATATTAGATTGCATCTATGATGTCAACTCCTTCACTTGCAAACATGTATTTGTTGATTTATTCATTGATGCTGTGGAGAATACCATTAAGGGTCACCTTCGTCTTTCATTCAACAAACAAACCAAAAATAATTTCCTCAGATAATGAGGTATTGGTCCTTAGCTCTTTTAGCTACAAGCTTGTGAATAGGTCATCTCCCACTCATTGTGTACATTGCTTGCTCCACCCCTTATTTGGGATTTGAGTTTCCTATGAGTGTAGGAAGCACAAGTGCACATCTAGAGATCTTCATTTTGAATGCATGCATATGCTCTACATGGTATTTTTTCGACTGGAATTGTCAGGCAATGCCTTGTGGGAAGTCTTCACAATTAAAATACCAGCATTATGATCAGCAGGTTACCTTCAATGTTTAAAATGAGAAAACTGAGATTGATATATACCATCAAATGTGCCAATATTGAAGGAAAGTTATTGTACATACAATACATTTTTGAGAACCTGAGGAAGGACCATTCGCATCCAGCAATGTGATACAAGAGCATTATGTTCATCAAGGAGCAGCTATTTTTGTTGCTTTATTCCAATATTGTGCATGACAGCCCAAGGAAACACTGAATTTTTTTATGGTTTTATGTGTGATTCTGTGAAACGCTTGGTGGTTGAAATGAACGAAATGAAATTTCTTCCCCCAACTGTTTTTTGGTATTTTATTTATTTCCCCTCTCACGCCAATCCTTTGACATGACTGCTTTGTACTGTAAAACTCCATATCGAAATAGATGGAGCTGTTGTGCGAATACGAAATTCTGACTATACCAACTGTCCAAGTGGATTCGGACATAATTTACTAACTTAAGGAAGAAGACGATCACTTCCAGAACCGGGAAATTGTGAATCGATTTCTTCCTTGAACATATTTTACAGTTAGAGTTCAAGGAACTTTCATACATTGAGCATGGTCATCGATTAGAGTTCTCTGAAAAGTTTCCATCCCCAGTGCTTGAATGACTCATTTCCTCGACTGTCAAGAAACGTGTGCTGTGTCATGCACATCTAGTCATGCAGTAATTCTAGTTCCCTCAACATTATCTCAGCTACGACACACGTTTCAGGCAGTGAGGCAGGAACACTGGTCGAGAGCCGCCGCAGTGACTGGAACGCCTACGTCGTCTATCATATAACTTAATCCAAGTCGCTTCGGCTGATGGTATCGTCCATGAATCCCTGGAGCCTGGAATGGACTGAGAGACTGCACAGCAATCGAAACCAAGCGTGCAACTCGCTCATATGAAGCTCTGCGCCTGTTTCCAGCTCCAGTCAATTCTTGGAAGCCGTCGTGGAACCACTCAACTCACTGCCTTGAATCATGAATAGCTTCCCCAAGCACACATCCACAGGCTGAGGAAGGGGAGCTCTTCCCGCGGAAAATGTACGAAGTCGGGCAAACAGCTTTGATCGAGTAATCGTACTTACATTTTCTTCGAATTTTTTTTTCTAAACTCTCTCGCATACGTGAGATAAAGTGAGAAGTTCGCACTCTCGCGTCAACAAAATCTTGCATAGTCTCGTAAGGGTCTAAGATAATAAAAGTTATTTAGCTTGAAAGCATTGCCCGCCTTGAGAAAAATATTCAGCATTTCATACCCTTCTCATATCCCATCAAAAGCAGCCCTTGATGGATGAAAAATTTAAGAAACCAGAGAAGCATCCAGCTATCCTGGCTTCCAGAAGAGAAGATTCACGGACCTGCCCTGGGAAACTTTTGCGATGGAAAAGTTCCTTGCGGCGGATTCTTGAGGTTCTTGAAGGTAGTAATCAATATGCAATCTGAATCCATGGGACGTAACGTAAGATAACCGTAAAACGCAGATGCGTATGAACAACATCAATTACGAGTACAATTATTCTTACAATGGAGTAGCGCTGAAAAATACTGCTCTAGCTCCGATTGCTTCAACGGTCATCCACCTTTCCAGGTCGATATAAGGAATTTCGTTTATGTCGATGACATCTTGCGGCCTATTGTCTCGAACGACATTCGCCCACATCTGGAAAGGCCCTTGCTCGCAAGGCTGTATCCTGAGGATCTTCTGAGCCTGAGGTCACTTTGTGATTTGAGGTTGTAGTGCCCAAAAATCAATGAGTCCATTGCGATCTTCGAAGGTGCCTTGGTTTGGCTGGAGAAGTTCCAGTTTCAGCGAGGGGATGTCGATCTGCTGAAAGTGATTGCAGTGAACGTCATTCACAAATGGTTAATTCTCCGCAATGAGTACAGAAAATGAAGAAATTCACGGGGAAACGTTGCTGCCTTTTCCACGACTTGACATCATGAGTGCTTCATCCAGAAGTGTAAAAACACCTTTCGTGACGCGCCTCGAGCCGACGGTTCCCACCTGCTCGAAAGAAGCCTGGAAAAACCGGCTGACGCTGCCTTCCCGCCTCTGGCTGCTTGGCCGTGGCATAATCGCTGGCGCGATTGTGATCCCTCCACTTCGGGATGTCCCTCTTCCCAGCGAGAGAGATTTGACTTGCGAGGAGGCAGATAGAAGAGATTCGTGGTCGGTATTCGTCCGCGAAGCGAGGTGGATCAAAGATCGGGGATCACGCTAAGAACAGGGGTGGATTGCATAAAAACTGACTTTAACGTAATAAAGCTTTAAACCTCCTTTAGCGATGCTAATGGAAGTTTGACGCTTTCAAACGCTAAAGTCAGTTTTATGCAATCCACCCCATATCTTTAGACAAGATGGACAGATCTTCCTTGCAGGTAACATATTATACCGTGGAATACGAAATATTTTGCCATTTGCAGGTGGCGTCGAGGAAGCGTAATTCTAATACCTGTATTAACTTTCACATTTCACTTACTTGGTCAATTGCGATACATCTTGGCCGAGAATTCATTTTGGGGCGTACGTCTAGACAGGGGTATTACATGCCGATGGAGAGACTTGCGCGAGTTAGTTTCGTGCACATTCTCCCAGAAGTAATAGTGTCAGTAAAGTAACTATGACAATGGTTCTCAAACTGAGGGGGAAGGAGAAGGGGGCCTGGATTTTTTAAATTTTATTTCAAATTTGACTTCAACGTGCATTTTGAAAAATTATGTTATCTTAATTATTATGTTTACTGATTGTTATCCCATCCTCTCTCAGTCGAGTCAATGTGTTCTAGGCAGTTTTAAATAGATTCGCGGGATTTCGTAGGTCGAGAGAGAGAGGAAGTATCTAATTCGCCTCATTTTTCTCGGAATACAAGACTTTGCGGAAGTAATCCTGTAGTGCCGACCCAGAAATCTACTGGTTTTAATTTATTTATATCTAAAAAAAAAATACGGTTTCCCTTCCATCGACTCCCTCTCATAACACGTTGGTGTGATCACGCTCGATTCCTCTCATTTCAACGCTCTCTCGCATTTCATCGGCTCGAGCAAGCCTGTCTCAAGAGTTGTAACGCCTTTTTAGGTTTCTTCGTGAAGGAATATACCGAACCAACTCGGTTCTGACCCGAAGAGCTGGAAAAGTGTTTGAGCGTTCCCCCTCAAGGTATTCGGGTCCAGACAGGGAAGAAGCGGAAGGGAATGAACCAGTGAAGACAAATTTCCTTACCCGACCTCAGCATGACTAAGGGTGGATTTTTGAACAGAGAACCGTCCGATAATACTGCTTTATTTCCAGGAAATATCATGTATTTTCCCTGGAATAAAGCTGCATTATCGGACAGTTCTCTGTTCAAAAATCCACCCTTAAACTCTTTTATTCAGGACCTCTCCTCTTAGACCTGCCTGCGACAAAATGCCAGGGCAAGTTTTCAGCCTAGCATGAACAAAAGCGCATCCTCCAAGAAAGGGGTGAACACTGCTTCCGAGAGGGATTGGATGGAGAGGGACACGAGTTGAAACCTCATCAGGATGCCAGAAAGCAAGGAAGTTTTAGTTTGTGTGAGTACAGGATCAATTGTTCCCTCCAGGTGTATGCCTCAGGGTTTCCTTCTAAACGCCACCAGGAGTTATTATTCGTCGAAGAGGAGAGAACATGACTCTTGCGATTTCTCCCACGCATGGACTCATCCAATATCTCATTAGAGATATCTTTGAAAACTTTCTAGATGGAATGAGCGCCATGATAGTACCAGAAAACGAAGCTGTCTTCATCGTGGAAAACTGTATGATTAACAGAAGATCGATCCGCCGACACTCATGTCATAATTTCATATTCCACCCACCATACGCCCCCAATTTGAACCCCACTGAATTCACTTTCTCTCCATCCAAAGCAGAGGTGAAGAGACAGCTGGATTATCTTTACTCCCATAGTTGATAGCCACCGTGCTGTTGCTCGGGCGTGTCTATGGCACAATATCGCAGAAACACTCGAACAAATTGTGCATAACGCAATAGGGAGAGTTCACACTGCAGATCTTTGTCGCGGAGCATATCGGCATTCACACGTTTGCATGAGCAGGTGAATTGTATAGAGAAGTCCTTCATGAATTGAGTCGTTCGACCAATGCCAAGGGGGAAATGGAATTTCACCTTGACTGTCTGGTTCCTTCTCGTCTCCTCATTTCCTCCCGTCTATGCATGAATTGAAGGGCTGAAAGGAAAAGTGGTCCACCCACCTGCAAAACATGTACGAAAAAAGTCTAGCTGGTCTAGCGCTTATAGAACCTTTTCCCCTTCATTGAAAACGATTTTTTTTTGGTCATTATATAAAAGATAAGTGGTATCTATTGATATCACTTCAGCACTCCAATTCCTTAAAGCGGAAAGCTTACCCTCCCTCTGCCTATCACATCCATGAAGGAGGTTCTCCCTCTCTGGGGTCAGAATCAAGTTGGTTTGGCATAAGGTAGAGGCGTCAGTAAGATGGCAGAATATGCTAACTAGTTCACAAAGAAATGCCTGTCTATGAACTGGCATCTCTACTGTGAACCTCGGACGGAGACTAGGGGATATGAGGGGGAGGAGTCACCTCCTCCCCTCCGAAAGACTTCCCCCTAGCCTGAAGGAGAAAAAAAATCTTCGACGGCCGGAGACTAAGGACTCATTCAGTTATTCTGTTGTTCCGTGCATATACGTGTGGATGTGATACGTCCTTCCATCTTGCCACCCGGGTGGACCCTTTTCTCTCTCTCTGGTCAGTTGTCTTCGCATTGTTAATATAGCCTTGTTCCTGTTGTTGAACCATCTCGTATTTCGTCACAGATTCCACCGGTACTATAATAAGGATCAGATTTAAATTAACAGCACCCACATATGGACACGTCAGGAACGCCCACACTTCCTCACTTGAAAGGAGGCCTTGAGCAAAATACCGGAAGCCTAGAAAGTACAACGAGGATCCAGCACAGCACTCTCAGGCTATAAAAATTCCTGGCGAACTTCGCTTATTATCAAAGAGGAATATAAGCAGCTGTCTGGAATATTAAATTTCTTCGTTTGTCGCATCTTACCATTGGGTTTTCTGTTAGCTGCAATTTAAAAAGTATGCAAAGTCGTCTGGATGTTGAAGATGAGCTTTGCGTCGCTATCTTTACCATTACGTTCAAAGTTTGATGAGTTGTGCACCCAAAGTAGCCGCATCGTTCTCATAAAATTTTTATAGGTGTGTTATAAATATTATATTTATTATAATATTATAAATGACTGTGGCCAATTTCAATGACTTGAAATGCTGCCGATACTTCTATTTCTTATTCATTGCATAACGAAAATAATTCCTATGAGAATACTCCCTAAAAATAGGGTTGCAGGCTTGGATCCATATTCTCGGAAGGCTTGGGGGAGCGATGCATAGGCAGGGTCTTTGAGTGGGTGCATTCATGCTAATCCGATGATCTTTGAGGAAAATAAAAAATTTGAATATAAAGTACCTACTTTGTGTGTTTTAGACTGGTTATCTGTCGCTCTTGGAATCATGCTACATCTTTCTTCGATTATTTTGTTGATACTGAGAATTAATTTATCCAACCTTGCAAAATCACAATAGCATCTATCTTGCAGTGTCATGTTTCCTGTGACTCACAGTATTGGCTTCAAATGAGATCAGGCTGAGCAGTCACTGGAAGTCAGTTACGACACAGTACAAGAAATTCCTTCTCGAGAAAGACAGTGATTGAAGGCAGCTCATAGCTGCTGAATCGTCTACAAAGGCACCCAATACCTATAATACAAATCAAAAGCTTGGAATCATTGGGTAATAGGGTGATGATGCCATATAACTATGATTACTACTTCCAGTCCACATTGTATGCTGAAAAATGCTCACAGGGAAAGGCTGTATCATTTTAAATCAATTGTGCAGCTGATGCACAGAGTATTCATGATTGCATCTTGTGAGGTGAATAAAGAACATCCATATGATTCCAGACTTTCGACACATACTGTCTCAGGAATAACAAAACAGGCATCAAAAGATTGAAAGTTTTTTTGAATTTTTCCTTTGAAGCTGCTCATTCTGGATTGCATGCTGAGATGCCTTCAGCTTCATCAGATGGGCCTCCTTATCACTAATTTTCTTTCCTATGCCTTCGGTGAGACCAGAGTCCTTGCTGTGACGTTGAAGGGATTTCTTGAGGTGGTGCAGCTCCTTTTCAGTCTTTGTTATGTCCTGACTCACTTTCAAGTGGCCTACATTTAACGATTTGGTTGAAGCTACTTTCACTTTTTCTGGTTCTTGATGAGGCACACCACTTGAACTACCTGTGAAAGAATTAAAAAATGGTGGTCAATTAATCATTCTATTCAACTGACAGCTTCAACCTTAAGAAGACCTTGAAAACCTGGAACAAAAGATCTCACCTGGTTCTGCAGACAGTTTGGAATTGATGAAGTCAAAGACATCAGTCTGAGTCATCTGCCTCTCATATTCCCTCTGAGATTGTTTCTCTGCCTGTTTTTGGAGTTTTCTCATCTTTTGCTCTGCTTGACTGAGGCATCCATCCCCTGACAACTCTCTGAGTGCCATACAATGATCTGCCAAATAAGATATATTCTCTCCAGGTTGACCACAGTCACAAGAACACAATAGTGAACACTATAGTGTATAATCTCACCTAGAGATTTGCCAGCAGGAAGAACAACAGCTTCCACAGGTTCAGTCCTTCCTTCTCCACGGCGACCTAACCCTTGGCCCAGGACATATCCCATTTTGGCCATAAGCTTGGAACCAATGCCCTAAAATGATCAGAGAGCTTCTTATAAATTCTCTTCAGAAAGAAACTCAATAAGAGATATGAACAGGTAGTATATTTACTTTGGTGTGCTTCTCCCATTCACCAAGCTGCCTGTCAAGAGGAATTCTCCAAGCACAATGGGGAATGAAATCATCATCTCCTTCATCAAGTAAAGAACTGGACACCAGATTTGCATCTCTTTGGTAAATGTCATTATCTTCCTCTTCACCATCATCTTCTTCAGCTGCAATTCAAGATCATAAATGTTATCAAGAAATATTGCAGCAAGAAACAACAAATAAGATAATTTCATATTCTAATTTGATCATAGGCTTGAAGGGAATGCTAAGGATTTACTAATTTTGCTCTGAAAATCCATCAACATCCTTAATGCATTGCTTGAGGAATGCAAAAAGAAGCAGAAGACCCATGCTGACTGCACCTGAAGGAAGAAGGTCATGTAGTTGGAGAGATTTCTCTTTCCCTGAATGTACCCAGCGAATGATGCACTCCTCGCCCTGAATTGCCTCAAGTAATGCACTGTACCAGAGACCATCTGACTCCTTCCCCAGGCACATCATCCCAGGCTTGAAATTCTTGAATTCTGGCTCCCTGAAAGCCAATCCCAGCAGAGGCTGACAAACTATTCAATAGACCAGTAACATGCATATCCCTGGTATAGAACAGTTTTACCCATAATCCATGAGATCATGTAGCTTCACTATGTGGCCATGAGAAAACTTGCACTTGGCATCTTCAAATCTACAATTTCCATCCATATAATAGGGGCAAGGGAGCATCTTCAGCTCTGTTGGTTGAAGGAAGAGTACCTTCACCTGTAAACGAGCATCACAAATCATAATGGATGTCTAACATCTGAATCTTTCTCCAATCAGACTTTTTCCCCCTCATATCATGGGTTGGCCTAATATACAGCACAATTACAGCGAACAGCTCCAAACCCATCATCAGATTAATATTTTAAAAAAGCCATCAGATTAATATTTTTAAAAAGCCATCAGATTAATGAACAGTTGGGATGTAGGATTCCTGTTTTCCAAATTGTCTGATTTGACAAGAGCATTTCTCATGCTATTACCCCAACAGAACACTTCTCCACTGGATTTCAGCAAATATGCTCCTACATGTTAATGGTACTGGTGCAGTAGGCTACCCCATGAGCCAATTACAGTGCTATCCAACATTCTGACTTGAAGTGAGGTTTTTCAACCAGCCAGTTTTAAGTATATCTACATGTTGGTCAATTGTTCATTCATGTTTTTGTGTGACCAATTAAATAATAGCTTTTCTGCAATTTACAAAGGTATGCTGGTTTTCCTCATTTTAAATCAACATATTCACATAATGTAAGTCAATTTCTATATCTGATAGGCCTCATATATGCCTCATTGTGCTGGAAGCAGCATAACACCAGGTAATAAGGTATAAGAAAGTTTCAGACCTCCTCATCAATTCCTTCAAGACTAATTTTTTTTAATACATGCAGTCTGTATGTGCTTTTTGCAGACTTAGACAATAATTCCATGAATCTCTTAAATATCAAAGGCTTACATGAACTCACCTCAATATCTGCCATATTTTTTTGTAGTTCTGAAGGCTCTACATGGAAGATGACAGCATTGTGATACCTACTGGATCCCCAAGGGCTCTTGAAGGGTGCTCGGCACTTCAAACCCACAAGGGAATCCATGGAGTCATGTTTCAATCCAGATGACTCCTCATGGAGTCCATTACATCCTGATGTTGATGGCCCACCCTCTAATGCTGCTATCTCTGACTTTGCAAACAGAAATAATGAGACGTTAGGTCAATGCCAGATTTTATTGGGGAAGCTAGGACTGGTTTTGGATGATTTCTTTTCTTTGAAGAATTTAAATTTGAATTTAAAATCTCTCAACATTCATCAGAGGAATCTCATCAAACTCAAGAAACTCACTTGGAATGCAGTGAATTCATCATCCAATGGCTTTTCTTGCTTATCACAGGGGTACTGATCGTCAGATTGGACTGGTTCTTGAAATGGTTTAAGTGTGTCACCACTTTTTGAGGAACTTTCTTCAAGGAGGATTTTGAGCTCATCTCTCAAATTCTTAAGTTCCTCCCTCTCTGGTCCACTGCTTACCAACAATGCCTGCTCCAAGTTGTCCAGCTAAGAATGAACTCTTGGTAAGTACTGGAGTAAAATAATTTTTGTTGTTGATTTGAAAGATAACTTAGGAGGAAAAAAGGCACCATTTTACAACAAGCAAATGCTGTACTGTGTCTGATAAATTAGGCAGTTACTTTTTCACTTTTTCTTTATTTACAAGTCTTGCATAGATGGTACGAAGTTAACCCAGCCAACCAGAGCATCAGTACTTAAGATCACGAAAGCTCTAGACAATTCACCATCACCTGGTGTGAATGGTGAGACTGATACACCACTTGTGATTCATGCAGTCTTGTCGAACACCGACAAAATCCTCACCTGTTCTTTCAACGCTGTATCCATGGGGTTAGGCCTATTAGGCTTGACTTCAACAAGGTGAGGAATGATTATTCTAGCCCCATGGAAAGCTAGTGAAACGTCTTTCGTCTTTCTGGGCGAGGAAGTGCGACGGAGGCGTGAAAAGTTCCTCAGGAGACGAAATAAGACGTTCCTCAGTTGCGTGAACGCTATACAGTTTCTCGCTTGAGTCAAATTTTCATGTCGCCCAGAGCCTACGAGGTTCCTTCAAGGCCGTTACGTAGGCAGAAGCTAAGTTTGCCGTTGGCGTGATACAATCACGAAATATCACCAAAAAAAAACTGTCGAACTGAACTGAAAATCCCATGGAGCACCAGGGATCACACGGGAAGCGTAGGACCGATGAATGGTATCATTCACATTTCGAATCCAATTCCGATAGGTTCCTGGATCGCCTATAGATGGCTCTGCCTGTCTGAGAAGATTTTAGCGACAGTAAGCCTCCTTCCATTCAGGAGGGAATGAGGCTGCATATGCAATCTCCCAGATGTCTGTGGGTCTGTCTATCTGTGTTCTTGCGAAGCTTTCGCCAACATTTGCAGGGGTACTACCGCTTTTAGCTTCAACAAAATAAATATATATAAATTATTTTCAATATCTTCACTACTATGAATACTAAGCGCATCTCCTCACCCTAAGGCCCGATTACATGAACGACGTTTTCCCAGTGTTTTTCGAAAATCATCGGTTAATCCATCTCTAAGGCCAAAAATGGATTGCATGAACGCTTCTTCCTTTAATCATTGCCTAACTAATGGCGAACAGGAGCTTAAAAGAGTTCCATTTCCAGACAAGGGTTGGGGCATGTTTTGCCGATATTCATGGCAGCGCTCGTGTACTATCTCGATCAGTATAGCGTTGCAGTGTACTGGTGAAGCACAATGGATTATCTTTATGGAGTGGTTCGATATCGACGGAATGCTCCCCATTCGGCACAAAAACGTTGTGTCAACGTTGAGAAAAGGTTGAAATGAAACACAGCTCGACATAGAAAAGTTGCTGCTGTGCAATGTTGTGTCAATTTTGAATTGTCAACGTACGGGCATTTTAGTACCTCCTCCCTTATCTAGTGTCTGAAAGAGCGTTAATTAGCTGACGGTGAGAATCAATATACCCACGGTGGGTACTCAAGTGAGATGATACAAGCAGTATTCTGTTGAGTACAATCACCTCACGTAAAGGGCCCTCAGAGTTTTATTTCCTATGCTAGATCAGAATACGAATTGAGTACTTAACATGGCTCAACTCCCAAAGCGGTCCAGCAGCAGAAAACAAACCCGCAAGTATATTTTCATACTCTATCCTTTATCCTTTATGGGGGAAACCGAGGAAGTGCATATGCCGTGTGGAGATTTATGGAAATTGAGCATGTCTCCTTGGACCCACTGGCCAGAAGTACTTTGAGTCTCTTTCTGCCGGGTTGCCTCCTTAAACAGGTCCATCTAGAAATTCCTTCGCCTTCCCTCATGATGTAGATGGGAAGAGATCGGGTTCTGTATGAAAAATACCGGATCCTGTTCATTTCAGGGTACCAGGGTAAGAATCGCTGAATTGGCGGTTGGGCGTCATCTCGCGTCGATTCGTAGAACCCATTTTCTGTCGATATGATGCGGATAACTCCACGTAGAAGCAACGGCGAGACAAAGATGGAAAACGAATTTGCGCTTCTGAACGACTTTGCTAATTCACGAGTCGTCGCCAAATGCTGAAAATACTGTTAATAACGAATAGCTAGCATTTCAGCTATGTTGATCTTTCTTCGGATTCTCAACTTCAACCAAGTCTCGACGTTTCAACCTTTTCTCAATGTCGACGCAACGTTGTTGTGCCGAATGGGTCTCGATGTCGCATGGGACAAATTAGCATCGGTTCGAGGCTCAATCCCTTCGAAGAATTTTGTCGACGAGAACTTCCGCGGGAGATCCCGATTTGAAAAGAGATCGGCGAATGATATCGTCGACCTGCTTCGCCCTGGAAGGAACGAAAATCGCGCTAGGGATCCCTTAAATTTACATCAACGGATGAGACCAATAGAGGCTCGTGTGCAATTAATCGTGATTTATTCACGACCCCACCCCGTAATTAATTAATGAATACAACCCGAAAGTCAAGAGAGAGTCATGAAAGCCTTTTGATTTGCATGTGGCATCGATTCCGAGAAATGCTCATTTGCGTCACTCAGTATGTTCCCAGAAGGAAAAACGGAGTGGCTGTTCGAAGGCAATAACTCGAGATTGCCGGATTTCCAGGAAAGATCGACGACTGTCGTCCCCGAACCGAATGCCCAGCCAACTTCTATCAATCGCGAAGGCTTCTCTTTCCTCGGTGCCCAAGCAGCGTGCGATGCGGGAAGGGATTTTTCACTGACGTTCTCGCGACGGGACCAGGATGTCCTCATTTCGCAATCGTGCACAAATGATACTCCTATTTTTTTTTTTCCACATTTCCAACTTCCCTGTGCGTTAAACGGATCCTTGGCGTTACCGCTGATGAATTGAAAGACAGAGTAGGGTCAATGAAGAACTCGCCCCATTCGGAACAGCTACGTTGTGTCAACATTGAGCAAAGGTCGATTTTTCAACTTGCCATGTTGCCCCCACGTTGCAACATTGTTGAAATGAAACACAGCTCAACTTTGAAGAGTTCCCATTCGGCACAACAACGTTGTATCAACATTGAGAATAGGTTGAAACGTTGAGACTTAGTTGAAGTTGAGAATTCGACGAAAAATCAACATCAATGAAATGCTAGCTATTCATAATGCTATTCATAATTAACCGTATTTTCAGCATTTGGTGACTACTCGTGAATTAGGGAAGTCGTTCAGAGGCTATTAGGAGCAAATTTTTTAAAAATCGTATTCTCAATGTTGTTTTTACGTGGAATTATCCACATCATATCAACACAAAATAAGTTCTACGAATCGACGCGAGATGGCAATTCCCCGATTCTTATCCTGATGCCTTTAAATAACCAGTACCCTGCGTTTTTCAGACAGTACCCAATCTTTTCCCATTTACAGCATAGGGGAAGGTACAGGAATTCCTAGATAGACATGTTTAAAGAGGTAATCAGGCAGAAGGAGATCCAAAGTACTTCTGGCTAGTGGGTCCGAGAAGACACGCTCAATTTTCCTAAATCTCTACATGGCACGCGCCCTTACTTAGACTTGTCCATGATGGAAAGAGTATAAAAACCATGCCCGCGAGGTTGTTTTCCTCTACTGGACTGTACTCGAGTCATGCAAGTACTCAATGTGAATTCTTATTCAGTAGAGGAAATAAAACTCTGAGGGTCCTTTACGTGGGATGATTGTACTCGGTAGAATACTGCTAGTATCATACCTCTTGGGAACCATCTATGGAGTTATCGAGTCCATATTCAATTTCATTCGACAATCTAAGCTCATTCAAACCCTGGAATAGGGAGGAGGTACTATAATGCCCTTACGTTGAAAATTCAACCTTTTCTCAACATTGAGGCAACATTGCCATCAACCTTTTCTCAACGTTGACACAACGTTGTTGTGCCAAATGGGTTGCTGCTGCGCAACGTTGTGTCAACGATGAAGTGTCAACGTTTGGGCATTACAGTACCTCCTCCATTTCTTGAGTCTGAACGAGCGCTAACACCGATTAGATGACGAGACTTAATGCATATTAGATTGATGATAGTACTTTGTTAATTACTGTCATCCCACGAAGGGATCCTTCCGGGGGACCACATTAAGGATCTCTATGTTGAACGACAGTATTCTAATGAGTACTAACACCCACGAGGAATCCCCTGTGGTTATATTTCCATAATTTGATCAGAATTCGAGTCGAGTATATGAGTGCCACAACTCTTTCTGTCCATCAAAGGAAGTACACGTCTAGCATCACCCCCAAATTTATCTCATTTAATGAGAGAGACCCTTGCAGGCCGAATTTTACGCTCTATACCTCTCGGAAGAGATACAAGAACTTTTCGTATCAGCCTTGCAGAGACTTAAGAAAATTGAGCATGTCTTCTCGGACCCTCAGGCCAGTGGAACTTGGGAGTCTCCTTCTGCCGGGTTACCTCCTTACCCCCAGGAATTCCAAAGCCTTCCCTTATGTTGTACGTGGGAAAAGATCGGGTACCGTGTGAAAAATACAGGGGACTCATTCCAACGGCACCAGGGTGAGAATCACTGAATCGGCGCTTAGGCGCCATCTCGCGCCGATTGGTAGAACCTATTTAAATGTGGATGTCTCAACCATTTCTCAACATTTCAACCTGTTATCGATGCTGGCACAACGTTGTTGTGCCGAATGGGACCAGTTTCCAGGCATGATTATTGTTGTGCAAGGAGGATGCATCGTGTCTCCTCTCTATTGCGAAATTCTCCTCTAGAAGCTCTGCGAGTTGTACTTAATCGTCAGAGGAAAGGTTCTCCTTTTGTCGCTCTCGCCCGGGGCGCCATTTGATCTAGGGCTGGCCCCGCCCCGGCGAGGAGGGGAGGGGTCCAAATTTTGAAACGCCACCTAGCCTATGACCTAGCCTATGGGTCATTCCATACGATCTTGTTCCTCCAGCAGAGCCCGTATGGGTTCCTGACAGGGACACTCATCGCACGTGCCCAGCATACACTCTTCGGCGCTGATATCACAGACGATCATGCTCATGAGATCCTCGTAATTGAAGCTGATCTTGCAAGCATGAAGCGCTAGCTTCACGTTCTGATGGTGGGTACATACGCAAACAGAATGTGTCCCAGATGCACCTGGAAAGGCACACCACTTCGGTCGCAGAGAAGGCAAAGATGGAGAACCCCGCTTTGACGTCCGGTTGGCCTCCTTCCGCAATCTGTAGGCCTCTCGCAGGTTTACCAGCATCGGTCGCTTTTTTGTTTCACCATTCGCCCCTCCTCAGTCACAACGGATACGACGTATCCGACGACGCCTGGGCATATACGGCTGATTTCGTCATTTTCATAAAAGTTTCTGACGTTCTCAGCAGTAACAGGGTTCAAATTGGCTCCTTTCTTTGGTCGTGGCTTGCCTAATATCCCATGTGACCTTCTAACGTTCCGGGAAAGCTTTACAAGATGTAATGTCCCGAAAAAGTCTGATGCCTGTAATGCTTCCGGGACCAACGCTCGGAAACTAGAGTCAAGATCTGTATCTTTTCCTCCTTTTGGTTCGACTCATTGAAGCGCTGCCGCAAGTCTTCAAAGAGTATTTCGTGCTGCCTTGCGGAGAACATCGGATCTGGTTCGGCTACAGACGGCCCTAGCCGCTGAGGCTCCAATCCAAGGCACTGCACCACCTTATTAGAGACTTCGTGAAGGACTTTCCTCACTTTGGCCCTGGCATACGTCTACCTTCTT